GGTAAACTTCTAGTAGGACTGACAAAGAAAAAAAGAGAAAACACAAATTAGCAATATTAGAAATGAAAGGAAACTACAGCTGCCACAAATATTCAAAAGATATCAATACTCCAAACAACTCTATGCACATAAAATCAACCACATAGATGAAACAGACCAATTCCTTAAAATCACCAACTACCAAAAACTCACCCAAGGTGAAATAGGTAAACTTAATGGTCCTTACAGAGGAAACGAAATTGAGAAACTGAAGTTATAGTTCAAAAACCTCCCAGAAAAAATTAAAACAAAGAACAAAAAAACAAACTCCACAGGCAGGTGACTTCACTGGCAAATTATATAAAAAATTTAAGGAAAATATAAAACCAGCAGTACACAATCTTTTCCAGAAAAATAATGAGCAGAGAACACTTCCAAACTCATTTTATCAGGCCAATATTACACTGATACCAAAACAAGACAAAGATAATACAAGAAAAAAATACAAAACAATATGCCTCCCAAAATATGAATACAAAATCCTCAACAAAATATTAGAAATCATTAGCAAATTAGAAATGACAAAAAGAGTTTATACATACACACATGGAAAATAAGACACACTTCAAAAAGCATTGTAAAATCAAATTAATACTTCTTTTCCAAATCAAAATTATTTTAAATGCAAAGAGATTTATCCCTAACAAAAAATCTTTCAATCTCCAGAATATCTAAGTAAAAGTAATTCATTGTGACTATTAATCACTGTTGGAAAAATTACTACCAGTGCTAACTTACGTCTAACAACATTTTCTTCTCCCCACTCACAAGTTACAGCTGAGCCCTAACCAGGCAAAGCCAAACGAATCTATCCCATGCCTCTGGGTATAGCATCTGGGTCAAGGATGGACACAGGACCCAAATACATTAAAAAAAAAAAAAACAGTGGTTTTTGAGAAAACCAGGTGCTCTCTTCACTACAGTGTTCTCTTTTCTATCGATGTGTGATATGAAGCTTCCAGGTGCTGCAGCCATCCCACCTAAGAAGCCAGTCTGAAGACATAAACACACAAAAGAAAACAGAGGAAAGAGATAAAGAAAAAAGCTTAGTCTGGAATCAGATCTACTCTAGAGTATCATTGATCTGATTTAATTTCTTTTTTAGTTTAAGCTACTTTAAAATGGATTTTTGGTTATCTGCACATAAAAAACCCTCTGATGCCAAGCACGAACTAGGCAGAAGTCAGAGGAATATGATTTCCGTTACCATATAAAAGAATGTTTTAGTACTCAAGGCTAAGAAAAGGAAATAGACAAATTTTAAATTGTTTTCCTTATAATCTAGAATATTGTGATTAAGGGTTCAATACCTGCCTATATGTTCCTACAGTAATAGGCTAGATTTGTAAAGTTCCTTCCAAGTCTTTAAGATTCTGACTCTGTAAAAGCATACTGAATTTGGGATGTCAAATGAGACACTCAGAACTAGGGGTCACCCTTTGCTTAGACTTCTATTTAAACAAAAAAGTGAAAAACAGATTTTTTTTTTAAATGCCAAATCATACTCACTAGCAAGAATATGAGATATAGAGTGGGGAGGATACAGCTCAAGTGCTCCATTATTTAGAAGCTGTGTGACCTTGGGCAAGTCATTTAACCCTAATTGTGCTTCAGTTTCCTCATCTGTAAAATGGGAACAGTAAAAATAGCACGTGCCTCATAGAACTGTTGTGAGTACTAAATAAGCTCATTCACATACATCACTTAAATCAGTCCCTGGCACATAGTGCTTAGTTTATTAGTCTGTTCAGGCTGCCGTAACAAAACACCATACACTATGAGGCTTAAACAGCAGAAATTTATTTTCTCACAGTTCTGGAGGCTGAAAGTCCAAGATTAAGATTCTAGTTTTTAGTGGAGCACCTTCTTCTTGGTTTATAGATGTCCACCTTCCCACTGTTATCATACCCACGTAGCCTTTCCTTGATGTACGTGGCATGGGGAGAGAGAGCTTGTAGGTCTCATTCTCTTTCTTTGAGGGTTCCAGCCCCATCTGATTAGGGCCCCAAACTTACGACCTCATTTAATTTTAATTACCTCCTAGAAGCTCTATCTCCAAATACAGTCACATTGGGAGTTAGAGCTTCAGCGTATGAATTTACGGGGGACAGGATTCAGTCCACCACGGTAAGCACTATAGAAAGATTGTTAATGTTAATACTATTAATGTGTATGTGACGATTGTTCTAACGGAAGATATAGTTTTATTCACAAACCCAGTTACAGAATCTCTAAAGCAAATAACTGTCCTCATGCGTCACCGAAAAGGTTAAACTTTGTATTAGAAAATACTTAATTGCTATTCATTTATGTGGTAATCTCTTAGAAAGGGAAGACTAAAGCTGACAAAATCTTGCTTTTGTACCAAGTTAAAAGACTCATTTTGTGAAGTCTCCCTTTCCAACTCTAAGCTCCTTTAATTTCTAAGACCTCAAAAATAACTTTACCCAGTAAATCAGCTTGAGTGCTCCTAATGACCAACTGGCAAGAACTACCCTGACAATAATCTGAACCTGCCATGCCCTGGTCATCATTTACCAACCTTACCAATAGTGATCTACAAAGGTCACTTTTGAAGAAGTCTGAAAAAATTACCACAAATAAAACCACCTTCCATAAAAAAAAAAAAGCTATTATTTTTAAAAAGAAAAAAACGTTAAGTCAAAAGTTACCCATTAGGATTTAAAATTCAGCAATCTTTCCTTACACAGTTATTGCAATGATTAAATAAACGTATGTTATTTACCTACTACCTTGCCTAGGATTAGTATCCATCTGGTAAGTGTTAGTACATTAGATGTTCTAAGAAATACGGTTTAAAAGACCAAGCAGAAAATTAACATCCAACTCATTTTCAATACATGCTTATATTCCAAGTTTTTAAAAGGGCTCAGAATTTACCACTGAGTTTAATATACAGGGATGGTTACTTGAAGAGAGGATCTAATTTTAAATAATCACTAAATACAGTGTCTTTTACTACACTAATGTCTCATTGTGGCATTCATAAAGCAACAGGAACTCCTTCATCTGTAACCTCTGCTGAGGAAATAACCTTTATTTCATTAAGTGAAAGCTGCTAACTTAAATGTCATATATGAGATCACTGGTGTCTTTGATTATCTAGAAGAAAATTCTTTCCATTGTCCTTCCATTCCAACATCTCTCAAACCCAGGAGAAATTATCCTTTCAGTCATTTCCTTTTTTGACAGAAAACAATCAAGCATCAAACATATTATAAGAGAAATTGTAGAACTAGAAAAATTCTTCCAGAATCACAATAAAAAAAATATTACTTGGATTACTGTGGTGGTAGAGACAACTGCACTGCATATAACTAATATATGTGCCTTCTAACCCCATTAATATTTTCTTGCCTTCACCTACCATTATTTAAAAGATATACATCACATCAAGAAGGCTTTAAAACAGGGGAAAGAAGTGAAGACTACAAAAAACAGCTCAGTAATTCTCAAGACTTATCCTTGAGTTAAGTAAAAGCTGTTGGTTAAGTTAGTTAAGTAAGTTAACTTACTCTTTTACACTGAGAAGTTTAACAAGTGAACTGAAGTCAAGAGAGGCAGAAGGTTAGGGCAGACTCTAAACACAGCTCTTCCCCAAACCTCCATCCCTACACACACTGCTAATTTTCCCCTTGGAATTCTGAATATACATTATAACTCACTCAACTCACCAACCAAATCACCTTGGGCAAGATACTTTTTTTTTTTTAACATACCTGGATAGCACTACTGGAATTTCCCATCTTTTCCTCCTCCTCTACAATGTGTGAGTATCAGAAATGGCATTGTGTTAAAAAAAAAAAAATAGAAATAGGCACCTATCTTCCTTGGTAGTAAAGAACAACAGTGCAGAAGAAGCTTCAAAATACTCAAATAAATGACTAAACAATCTCTATGTAAATAGAAAATCTGTCACATATCTGTGTTTTCCAAAGCAAGTATAACCAAATCTTGACTGAAATTTGCCAAAAAAAAAAAAGTTGCTTCAAGTTACAGTTTCATAGAAATACAGCAGTCCTCCCTTATCCAAAGGGTATTCATTCCAAGATACCCAGTGGCTGCCTGAAACCCTGGATAGCACTGAACTCTATATATATTATGTTTTTTTCCCATACATACCCGTGATAAAGTTTAATTTATAAATTAGGCACAGTATGAGATTAATAATAATCACAAAATAAAGCAGTTACAATAATATGCTGTAATAAAAGTTATGTAAATGTGGGGTCTCTCGTTCCTTAAAATATCTTACTGTACAAATTTAATCCCTTTTCCATCTTAATAAGCACTAACTGCACCGTGGCCATAACTTCTACAGTTTGAGGTGTGACAGCAAAACTAGCACGCATTTCTACTTTCTTCTTCACAATTTCACAAATAGAAGATTTGTTCTTACCTTAGATCTTTACAACCTCAGCATATGATTTTTTTCTTTCCTTACTAAGTCAGGAACTTTTACCTTTTCACTTAAAGGAAGCATTTTACAGCTTTTTTGGCAAATCCAAATTGCTGGCATCACTACTTTTATACTTTGGGGCCATCATTAAGTAAAATCAGGGTTACCTGAACACAAGCACTGTGCTACCTCCACAGCTGATCTGGTAACATAGATGGCTACTAAGTGACTAATGAGCAGGATAAACTGGACAAAGTGATGGTTCACACCGCAGGCTGGAGAGAGCAGGATGGCACGAGATTTTATCATGCTACTCAGAAAGGCACACAGTTTAAAACTTATGAATTGTTTATTTCTGATATCTTCCATTTAGTATTTTGGACCAAGCTTGACTATAAGCAATTGAATCCAGGGAAAACAAAACATTAGATAAGGGGGGGGGACTACTGCACTCAGATTTTAGGAAGTACTTAAACAGTTAGATCCTATTTTAAAAATAAAGGTAGAAAATGAAAACAGTACTTAGAAAAAGTAAACTTACCAAATATATTAGTGGAGTGTCCTTTCCTTGCAATAGGTCTGAGTTCATTATGTCCCCACCCGTACATCCTATAATTATCCCAGGCGTGTTTCATCATCTGAGAAAAGAAAAATTATAACTCATCAATTTACATTTTTCACAGACTCTTATCTTTATATTTCATGTAACTTAGTGATTCTATCCTTACAAACTTCTGTATCGCCTACATTAGTATATTATCCTATTAACATCTATGTCAGTATGAAAACACACATACCATGTTTAACTTGAGTCTACACAACAGAACAAAAAATTGGATGTAATAAACAAGCTCTTTTTTTTTAATGGGGAGGCAGGTGTCTGGCATTCTTTCCTTTTAGGAAGAATGAATCCTTTTGGAAATAGCTCCCCTTCCCTCACTGTGATTATGCCAGAGTTGTCAATCAAGGGGCTCTGATTCCACAACCAATTAACACAGCCTGGCTGGAGTATCCCTTACCCTTAGACCAAAGACTAGCAAACTCTCCCTGTAAAGTAAATATTTTAGGCTTTGCAATCCACACAGTCTCTGTAGCAACTACTTAGCTGTTAAGCACAAAAGCACCCTAGATAACACAGAACCAGACAGGCATAACTGTGTTCCAACTAAACTTTATTTTAAAAAATGAGGCAGTATAGACAGAATTTGGCCAGCAGGCTGTGGTCTGCCACCCCATGACCTACACAACGTGACTGGGTACATGTGATTCAAGTAGGGGCAACCAAGTCCTTTCAAACATGTTGTTATAGGCACCAGGAGTCAGAGGGACTCCCTCATTTTGCAATCTCAAGGTCTACGTAACGTATAACCCTGGGGCTGATGGGAACTAACTCTCTCCCAACATGGAGAAACTAAATAACAAAAGAAAACAGACAGAGACAGATGCGTATTACTGACAAAAACATCTATAGACCTGGATTTAGCCAAGTTTGAAGTCCTAGTTTAGAGCCAAGAAGCTAATAAATCCTTTTGTATCAATTAGTTTGAACTGAATTTCTTACAACCCAAGGAGTACTAGGCTACACAACAGCAGAGTACTTAATTATGTATCAGCTGAATTATGTAATAGTAGTCTGTGGTATATCAAATACAATATTCATTAAAACATTTCTCAACTTGCTTTTTGCAGCTAGCATTACTCAGACACCAAAACTAGGCAGAGACATTACAAGGAAACTAAAAACCAATGTATCTCAAAAGCAGATACAAAATTTTAAAAGTTCCTTAATAAAAATTAATAATATATTAAAAAGGAGATGTACAATGACCAAGCGCAGTTTAACCCAGGAATATACGACTAATTTAACATTCAAAACCCATCAATATAATTCATAATGTTAAGAATAAAAAGGAAAAAATCATACAATCATCATTCTAGATGTAGACAAAGCATTTGACAAAATTCAACACCCATTCATGATAAAAACTCAGTAAACTACAACTACAAGGAAATATCCTTGTCTTAATAAAGGGCATCTTCAAAAAAACCTACAGTTTACATCATACTTAACAGTAGAAGATCCTCCTGCTAAAGTTGAGAACAAACCAAATACATCTATTCTCATCACTTCTTTTCAACAATGTACTGAAAGTCCTAGCTAGTGCAATAAGAAAATAAATAAAAGGCAAAAAAAAATCAAAAAGGAAAAGTACCTCTATTCACAGAGGACATGACTATGCACAAGGAAAATCCTAAGCCATCTTAAAATAAAAAGCCACTAAAAAGAAAAGACGACTTCAGTAAATGAGATACAAGTTCAGAAAAGTAAAATTAAATATATTACTAAATGCTAGTAATGAACAACAGACATAGAAATTAAAAAACAATTTCTTTTTATAATAGCATCAAAAAACATGAAACATTTAGGAATAAATGTAACAGGATATGTGCAAGAACTATACACTAAGAACTAAAAAACACTGCTCAGAGAAATTAAAGAAAACCTAAATAAGCAGAAAGATGTAAACTGCTCAGGGAATGAAGATCAAATATTAAGATGACAATTCTTCTCAATTCACCTACAGATTCTATGAAATCCCAAACAAAATGCCAGCAATCTTTTATTTTCACAGAAAAGCTAATTCTAGAAAGGCAAAGGACTTACAATGGCCAAAACGATTTTTTAAAGAACAAAGCTGGAGGACTTACCTGTTTCAAAACTTACTATAAGTTAAGGTATTCAACAGTGTCATATTCTCATTAAGGATAGGAATATAGACTAATGCAATAGATATGAGTCCAGAGAGAGACTCAACATCTATTGATTTTGTCAACTGATTTTGAACAAAAGTGCCAAGGTAATTCAATTGGGAAAGGATAATCTTTTCAACAGATAATGCTGGAACCCTAGAAAGCCCTACGGAGGAAGAATGAAGTACAATCTTTACTTCACACAATAAACAAAAAAACTTAACTCTCAAAAGATCACAGACTGATATGCCAAAACTAAAACTAAACCATATGCCCACACAAAGACTTGTACACAAATGTTCACAGCAACTTTATTCATAATAGTCAAAAACTGAACCAAATGTTAAACAAATGTTCAACAGGTGAATGAATAAAACAAATCATGGTATATCCATACAACGGAACACTACTGGGGAAAAAATTGCCTTTATATGCAATCTACGTAGATGAATCTCAAAAACATGCTGACAAAAGCCCAGAAACAAAATATCACACAACTTATAATTTCATTTGATTGATACTCTAGAAAAGACAAATCTAATCCATAATGACTAAGAGCGGATCAGTGGCTGCCTGGAGCCAAGGAATGGAGTGGACTGACTAGAAAGGGGTACAAGTAAACCGTTTTGAGATTATGGACATATTCACAGCTTGACTGCAATTGTTACACAGGTATGTACATCTGTAAAATCTCATATAAAGCCGTACTCTTAAAATACATACGTTTTATTGTACATATATTATGTCTCAATAAAGTCAAATTTTTAAAAAATCTAATAGCCTGTCCTATCTTCCTCATTAGTAATTTTCGCTCTCCTGAGCTAAGAAGTTAAAGCTTTTTCACTTGATTTTCTAGTTACCACTATATTTCTAAGTATAGTTTGCAGTGCTATTTCTTGATTTTTATAAAAGTTTTAGCTATTTACTATATTCCCCCATATTTAAGATAATTTAGCTCTCTCATACACTATCAGCTCACCTCCACATACACTTCACCACACATATTCCCTGGCTCACATCCTCCCAATATAGTTAGCAACATGTTTTTCTTATAATTATTATATTACTTTATTCAACTTTTGTTTTCCCTGCTGTAAACTACTGGTCTGAAGTTTAGTGGGGTTTTTTGTTGATGTAGTTTTTAACATAGCAATTATTAATTTACTTTCAAATTATACTTGAGTTTCAAAACTTGTCTCAATATAATCAAACAGATCAAATAAACTATCAGTTCCATTTTATTCTAATACACCCTTCCTGAGTCTCTCTATCCTCCCACTCTCATCTGGACTTCTGTTCTCCAACCTGAAGCACAGCCATCATCCTGCTGATTCCCTTTTCCACATTCCTGAGAATGCCCTTCCTTTCTCTCTCTAGTGACAAAACCCCTGTTTCCAAAATTGCTTATCTTCCTATTTTTATGCTGAAGCTTATTTTCCAGTAGCAATCTGAGACAATGTCTAAAAACATCTTTATTCTCAGATTTGATTCAAAATTTGGCTGAATATGTAACTCTTTCCAAGCCATTCTCTTCCAGTTTCTAACATTATTGCTGAGGAATCTAATGCGCCACTACGTACAATCCCAATCTTCTGGGTGGAACTATTAAACTTTTAGGATCTGTTTTTTATGCACTTTTTCTAAAATTTCAGTAGGAATCCCACCCCACCCCCCATTTGGTTAGATGCCTGGCAGGTCCTTTCAGTCCAGAAACTCACATTCTTAAGTTTTAGCCCATTCTCCTCAATTGTTTCTTTGACTTCTTCCCCTCTACTTTCCCTGTTCTTTTTCCAAAACCCCTAATTAATCACTTGTTAGGTGCTCCAGATTGAGCTTAACATTTTTCTTGTTTTCTCAACCTTTTGTCCTTCCAAGAGATTTGATCAATTTTATCTTCCAACTCTTCTACTGAATTTTTTACTCTATCATATTTTTAATCTCCAAGAACTCCTTCTTATTCTGTAAATGTTCCTTTTTATAATTTACTTCATGAATTTAATTTTTTTGGCACCCAAAGATGTGAATTCTTTTTTGATATTTTTTTCCTGCTCCCTGTATTGTTTCTGTATCCTCTAAATTCCTCCCTTCCATCTGTTTCTCTCATGTGAGAAACTTCCCTTACACGAATGGTAATCTTCGGTTTGTTCTTCACATATGAGTGAAGCACTTAGAAGATGATCAAAGGCTGTCAGTGAATAGGCAACACTTGTTGACCGAGCCTAGTCTCAAGGAGGTCAGGTGAAACCCAGGGGTGTCCTACTGAGGAACAGAGTAGGTCTTTTCTCTTGGGCCAGTCAAGTCTCCCAGAGACATGTCCTTCATTTTCCTACTTACTGAATATAAATCTGCCTGCCACAATTCTAAAAGTTGTGCAGGAGAAAGAGGTCTCAATATTCAGAATCCACTTTTCACTTAATTCCCTCCACCCCCACCTCTCCATTTTTTAGAATGCCCTCTGCCCTCTGCCCTCTCCCCTCAGCTATACTTGGTATTTCCAAAATCTAGATCCTCTCTAATTCATCCATCCGAAAGTAAACTTTTGATCCTCTTCTGGGGAAAGGAGGGCAGCAGATAGGATTCGTAGGCTAGAAAATTGGGAATCCAGGAGTTAAGAGCTCCTTTTAAAACTTTCAAATAATCCTTTTCCAGCTCTATTTTATACCCCTGCCTTCAGAGTGTTTCTAATTCTTGAAACTTTCAGATACTCTGCAGGTATTCATATCACCCTGCCTCTTTTTGGCTGCTTCTTCTGCAGATAAGTCAGTCATTACGTTTAAAAAGAACCTACACAGGGATTCTTAATACGTTTTATGTTGATTTACAAGAACACTAGACAACATGATGTGTTCTAAAGGATTCACTCAACAGGTCTGGGTTGTCCAAACCCTTCACATGCCCAAGGTTTGGCCTATGGAAGCCTCCTGGAAAATAACCTCAAAACCTTTGTTATCCTGCCTGTTAAGAGTATCTCTGTTTACCTGAAGCCCTGGGCAGTGTCAGATGGTTCATGCTAACAATGTGATTTATGGCAGGGACCACAGTATCGGCCTGACCTCTGGAGGTGCTGGAGAACTGAGGTCAGCCAAGCCTACACAATGAACTCCCAATAAAAGACCTGCACACCAAGGCTTGGGTGAACCTCCCTGGCTGCCAATACTTTGTGTGCCCTGCCACACATCACTGCTGGGAGAATTAAGCACGGTCCATACTACTCCACTGGGAAAGGACAACCAGGAGCTTGGGCCTGGTCTCTACTGCACTTAATCCTGGGTGCTTTTTATATTAATTTTAATCTGTATGTTTTTGCTGCAAATAACCAAGACTATGAATAGAACAGTTTTGCTAAGTTCTGTGATTACTTCCAGTGAATCACTGAGCCTGTAGGTGGGGTGGGTTCTTTAAACACACATTGTTATCCATCTTAATTATTATGTACATGAGACAAGTATTTAGATTCTAATGACATCTAAAAATAAAAAGTCAGGCATCTGAAAAAAAAAAATCTATCAATGTCTAACACTGTCCAAAGAAAGTGCCTTAAGCCGCCTGTGCATAAAACATAGACTCCAGAGGCAAGGTGAAATCAGAATACAAAGCTGTTTGATTCCACTAAGGTCAAAGTTTTATACTAATTCATAAGGCCACACTTAAAATATCTGCAAAAGCTTCCATATTCATTACTAGAATATATCCAAATAGATATCTGACTATTTGGACTAAATTTATTATCTTATTTTATGATAAACAACTGATTTGAAATATTGTTGATCACATTACACACTAACAAAATCTTTTTCTTCAAGTCACTAAAACTGCAAACTCCACCCAGAATTAGCAGGAATTCTAATTAACAAAGTTCAACTTAAATACAGATTTCCTCTCTGTCTAGTTTTCTCTTTATCTCCAAGTAACTCCTAGACTAACAAACTGAAAGACTTCTGTGACCAAACAAATTTCAAGAATTCTGAAATCAATCCTTCCCCCCTTTTCAACCCATTGAGACTCTCTGGAAGGATGCGTTCTTAATCTGCAGTATGGTTAAGCTGTATCATGATGTGTTCCTTAAAAGATGGCATATATAACACTAACGTTTCAGAAGCATGTTTATGAGAAGACTTGCATAGTATCTAGCAGAATTTCTTGTAACTAAACACTTAAAACATTTCTTATTAAATGATAAACTGTTTATGGGTTTATCCTATGTTATTAACAAAATACTGAATATCAAAAGATCTTTGAACACAGAGTGAGTGATGTAACTATCCAAACAACATTATACCAAAATTTTTAAGTATCCTGTGTTATGATCGATATTAAAAAACAGTTTTATCCCTTACTGCCAACTTGCAAAATGAACTGCAACTGTGACCCCAAAACAAATAAGATCAAAATACGACACCACAGATGGTACAAATAAATACAGACAGATAAGATACTTTAAATCCAGTCAAATACATATCCATATCCATGACCACCCCATATCACAAATCTCAGCTTATTACCTCTTTAATTTTTTCCCTTTTCTCTCTCAGTTCATTATCTTCTGGGTCTCCACCATTTGTTCCTATAAGGTTTGGTATAGGAACTGGTGGCAGTGGCTTTTTCTCTTTCATCTTCATTTCTAGGACTACCTTATTTTTCTCTGTCTGAATTTCTGCTCGGATTTCCTCTCTTGATTTTTTTAATTTTTCTTTTGCTTCTTCCAAGGCCTTCTCATGATCAGCTCGGATTTTATTTCTCAGACGTTCTTCTTCCTCCCTGTAAGAAGAAGAAAAAAAAATAATAAAAAAATAAAACTTAGTTTCCTCCACCAAACCCTGACAGTTGTTTTCTATGCCTGCCATTAAAAAGAAAGAATGATCCGTGAGAGAGGCTTGCATCTATCTGCCCAAAGAAGAGGATAAATACATCTTAGTATGAGAAAGAAGATGAGCCCTGGATGCTGACGAGCAAACATTTTACAAAGTGGAGGAAAAGAGAACTCAGAAAGTTACAATTTAAGGACCAAGTGAAACAGAGAAAACAGCAATCAATAATTTATTAGTAGACACATAATAGAGAGAGAGAGACTAGTGAAAAACTAGATGGAGGAGAGAAAATAAAAAAACAAAATTAAGTATCAAGAGGGAACAAAAATATAAACATAGGGTCAAAGAAAGAGAGATAAGCAGAAAAGATAAGAGGATGGGAAAGTTTTTATTTGTTAAATATACATCATATCCTTCTAAAATTTTTACATTTTGTAAATAATGTAGATCTTATACCACAATGGCCTAACTGATGATGTGGGCATGCCCACTTAAAATTCTCTTGAGTCCTTGTTAAAAATACAGATTCCAATTTAGCAGATCTGTATTAAACCCATGAATCTGTATTATTAAGAGCTCTCCTGATGATTCTGGGGTACATACAGATCTGGAAATCACTACTGCAGCAGACACCTACTGGGTTTCTAGTCGGCCCTAAATCTTTTCTCCACCTCCACCCCAATCCACATGAATGAATATAGGCGTAGTCATCACCATTTTCCAAATCAGCCAGTGACGACTACTCTAAGGGTAAACAACTAACCCACCAGTCACCAGAGTTACTGCTTCAGAAATTTAATTCAAACTCTGGCCGTACAACACTGCTGGTGAGAATGTATAAAATGGTATAGCCACCCTGGAAAAGTTTAGCAATTTCTTAAAAAACTAAACATGTAACCATCACAGAATCCTGCAATTGCCCTGGACAGTTATCCCAGAGAAATGAAGGCTTATTTACACACAAAAACCTATATACAAACCAGTTACAAAAAGATAAATACTATATCATTCTACTTATATTAGATTCTTAGAGTAGTCAAAATCATATAAACAGAAAGCAGAATGGTGGTTGTGAGAGGCTGGGGGAAAGGAGAAAATGGGAAATTATTGTTCAGTGGGTACAGAGTTTCAGTTTTACAACATGAAAGGAGTTCTGGAGATGGATGGCGATGATGGTTGCCCTATTCATACTGTACATGTAAAAATGGTTAAGATGGCAAATTTTATGTGTATTTTACCACAATTTTAAAAATTGGGAGAAAAATCCTATACACAAATGTTTATAGAAGCTTTATTCACAACAAGCAAAAACTAGAAACAACCCTAATGTCATCCAACAAGTAAACAGTTAAGCAAATCACTGTTTATACAGTGGTAAAGCAACACTATGGAATACTACTCAGCAATAAAAAGAAATGAACTACTCATACACACAATTTGAATGAATTTCAAAGGTATTATGTGAGTGAAAGAAGCCAGTCACAAAATGTTACATTCTGTCTGATTCCTTTTACATGATATTCTCAAAAAGACAAAAATAGAGGGATGACTAGTATATCATGGATGCTAGTAGTTATGGATGGGGAAGAGGTTAAATATAAAGGATAATACAGGATTTTTTTTATTATAGCAGTTATATACCCTAATTTCAGTGGTTACACCAATGTGAACACGTGTTAAAAACCATAGAACTGTACATCAAGAGAGAAAAATATCAATCCACAGCCTAGTATTAAAATTAAGATGTTAAATGTCTAGAGAAAAAGAAAACTGAATTGCCAACAGTGAAAAAGGACTGATGAGGAAAACAGAAGGGAGAAAAGAGGAGGAATCGCAGCAGAGCCAGAGTGTCAGGGACAAACAAGGTCACTCAGGTAGCAAGAAAAAATCCATGGGGCCTGCAGACAAACTGCATATAGGAAACGTAAGGCAGAAAGGAGCCAAGGTTAGCCCCACTGTGCATCCAAGAGTAGTTCTGGGCTGATCTGTTCAGGAGACTCAGGCAGATGAAAGCATCAGCAGCAGACAGGTACTGTATGCAGGCTCAGACAACCAAGGTAAATACAGGCAGGCACCACTCAACTGCCTTCCAATCCACCAGCAGGAAACACTGTGCCTGGGCCCAGAGAACAGATCATAATCCATCTACGCCAATCAAGTCTTCCCCAGATGCCCTTTTACCTGGGGTGACCACATAACCCCATTCCAACCAAAATGGCAAATGGCAACAAAACTAGTAATTGTTGCTGGTTTACATGCACCAGGCGCTGGCTTAGTCAATTACTTAGATTATCTTATTTAACCCTTGTACTAATTTATAAAGTACCCTCTATTTGATACTGTTCTCCATTTTATTAGGAAAACACTAAGGCACAAACAGAAAAATTCAGTAATTTGTTCAGGGTCACAGAGCTAGAAAGCAGAGAGCCTGGATACAAACATGTGCATCTGGACTTCTTACACTACACAAATACCGCCTTCCACATGGAAGGTGAATTTTATTTAAGAGACTGTCTCACAGTGTAGACACTAAAACCTGTCTCTCAGTATCTTGCTCCCTTCTTCTTTAGTCCTAGAGCCATCAAGTTTTAGCTAAGCATATGCTCTTGCAAAATAAAAATTCTACTTTCAGCCTCCCTTACTGAAACTGTCCTACAGACCATAAATAAACTTCTACCCTGCGTGAGCCACTGCTATCTTGTGATTTTATGGCTGGTAAGTGACCTAGTCTCTACTCAGCCACTCTCCATCCTAGATGTTCTCCTTCCCTGAGACTCTCATTAGCATTTGAGGACTGATTTGCCAGAAATAAACTAACCAAGCAATAGATTTCCTTCTTCAATTAAACTGTTTAAATAAATCATGTTTGGAAACATTCTGTAAGACAAATACAATCCTAGATTACAGAAGAATAGATAAAATTGCACTGAAATCTTGTTTGGCAAAGATTTAGGTGGATACACAAATACCTCCCTTTTATTTTCACTCTATTCTTCTTTACTAAAGCTTTACTCTTCACCTACAACATGAAGTCTCATCCACCCTTAAAAAAATTAGATAAATAAAAACTTCCCTCAAAACTGCCTCCACCTCCACCTTCATTGGTGTTTCTGTCTCCTTCCTTTCACCACTATACTTTCTCAAAGAGTACTACACTTGCTATTTCTACTTCCTTTAACCTCGCATCACTCTTCTACCACAGCTGAAAACTAATAGCTAAGCTTATCCTTCCTTTGAACTCCCTCTTCCTCACAGCTGCTTTTCCAACAAGCCTCTGGCTTTACCATCATCAATGCATCTCAAAATGTTGTATTCCATCCTCACTTCTGTTCTTACTCTACATACTTTTCCTATTCAACGTCATCCAACTGTATTTCCTCAACTCCTATATCAAAATACATATGGTCAGTCTTTTCCAGGTTACTAAGTACTCCAGACTCAAATTTCAAAACATTATGTAAGGCATTTGCCAAATACCTCTAATTTAACATGTCCAGAACAGAAATGAATGATTACTATGGAAAAAGGATAATCAGAGGCTAAGCTCATTCATCAACACAGATTTTTTTTAAATTTAAAATTAACAAAGTTAATCAGCAACATTAAAAAAGCAGAAACAAATACTTCATCATAACTAACTGGACTTAACCCAGAAGGGACCAGTTTAACATCAGAAAAGTCTATCCATGTAATTAACTTATTATTAGATTAAAGAAAAACTGTATAAATCATTCAGTAGAAACAGAAAAGGAAAGTGACAAAATTAAACATCCATTCTTAAAACCTCACAGCAAAGGAGAAAAAGAGAACTTCAAACTAATAAAATATATCTTCCAAAATTTACAACAAATATCATTCTTCATAGTGAAACATAAGGATGCTCACCATCACACTTCCATTTGATTGTGCTTAGATTAAAATAAGATTAAAATATAAGAAAAAGAAAGTTTAAAAAAGTCTTCTGTCACAGGTAATACAATTTCTATATAGAAAATCCAAAGTATCTACAAAGTATTATAAATAAAAGTGCAAGAAGGATGAGAAAGAAACTCTATGACAGAAGGTACTCAGTAAACGTAATTTTCTTCTCTTCCTACTCATTGGGTCTCATCTTTCTAGACACCAAGCGTTTAAACTTCTATTGATACGTTCTTTCCTCTTAATGATAGTAGCAATGTTTACATCAGCTTTCATTCACATCCATTGTTTCATTGCTAAGATTTCAAGGCTGTGTTCTTCTGAGTTAGATTTAAGAAACAGGAGAGCCCTTAAAACCTTGGGCAGATAACTATTCTCAACCATTATAAGAGGAATTTTTATTAAATTGACCCTTACTAATTTCCAAATTCTATGAACGCTCACCAAGGCCACTATAAACTGATTTTGTAAAAAAAAAAATGCTGAATAAATCAACAATGTGATTCTTTCTTTTAAGAGATAAAAGAATGTCCATACAATGGCCTTTGTTTTTAATAACAAAATTAGATAATAATCTTTTCAAACATCCTATATTTTAATATCATGCTAAAGAAATCTCAGAGCATCCAAGAAAGCACAAAAACAGCGGAAAACAGTATGTTAAAAGGAACTTACATCCAAGTACAGGCCAAGAATGGTTTTAGGAAACAACTACAGGACAGTCAGCAATTGGTATAGAAAATACTGAAATAACAGCATTCTATAGAGCTCACAGGCAAATGTCTAAACGAATTTAAGATCTTCCAAACGAAATGCCACTCTTTTGTCATGAAGGAAGATCTCTTTAAACTTAAGGTAATCAAGAGGAATCAACAATTGTAAGGGAGCTGTTCACAAATACAGCCTAAGATGATTTGCAATAGCAAATGAATATATCTTATTTGTAAGGAATAACACTGTTATATAAATGACAAAGAACTTGCTGAATGTTATCCTTTTAAGTTAAACCATGTACTCTCTAGTGTATCAATT